AGCGAAAAAAAAAAAAAAAGGATTCCGGGTCAACTACTTTGTTTATTTCTTCTGCAACTGTAAAACAAGGTCAAACCCGTTTGACTCAACGAGCCTGCATGCCGAACTCTGTATCAACTAGAAAAGTGTCCAAATGCTGATCCGGGAACAAAGTCTTCCGGCCATCCGGTGAGCCTTAATGGGACGTGGTCGTTGAGTTGTCGGCGTGTTACTGGGGGTACTGGGGATTAGATGCTCACAGCTGGAATAAAACCAATTCTCCCAGTAGGGGTTTGGGGGCGACCCTTAGGGGCGTCCGCCCTCCCACCATTTTTTATTTTTTTTTGGTGGGACCTACATTTGGGGTAACGTACAAATCCTCTTAGCAAGGAGGAAATGTGCATGAAGTCATTAGCTTTGGAGGGAGTACATTCAGCCACACGGAGGTCATCTCATCAAATAAGCAGGAGGAGAATGTCAGAGTAACTTCCATTCAGTGAAAACTTCTAAGATGAAATAATGTCATGCAGGACATCCAAATGAAGGCAAGAGAGTAAATGAAAAGAATAACTGCGTGATTGTTAGATGAAATGACAACTTACACCATTAAGGATAAAATGTCAAGAGTGAGCAGAGGCCGCCCCCCCACCCCAAAAAAAAAAACATAAATGGATGAAATGAACCGTGTGAAAAAAAATCTAATTAAATGAAATGAAAAATGACGAGGGTGGCCCGGTGGGGAGTGGTTGGCGCGTTGACTTCGCAGTGCAGAGGTCCTGGGTTCGATCCTGGCTGCGGCCTTCCTGTGTGGAGTTTGCATGTTCTCCCTGTGCCTGCGTGGGTTTTCTCCGGGTACTCCGGTTTCCTCCCACATTCCAAAATCAAGCATGGCAGGCTGAATGAACACTCAAAATCGTTCCTAGGTGTGAGTGTGTGCGCGGATGGTTGTTCGTCTCTGTGTGCCTTGGTTGTTCGGCTGTGTGTGCCCTGTGATTGGTTGGCAACCGGTTCAGGGTGTCCACCGCAGACTGCTCGAAGACAGCTGGGATAGGCTCCAGCATCCCCTGCGACCCTTGTGCGGATAAAGCGGATCAGAAAATGGATGGATGGATGAAAAACGACAACAGCAGCGATAAAACGGAAGGAGTGCATCTGGAACGTGGTTTTCCCCCTCCAAAAATCGACTAAAATGAATCAAACAGAGATGAGAATTTCCGACTTTTTCGGACCACAACGACTATTCTTGAGATAAGCGTAAAACAATTGAGACATTTTCAGGCCAGGGAGCTGTCTTGGCGTTGCAGTCGGTTTTTTTTGTGCCTTTTCCCGTGTGTGTCCATGAGAGGCTTTGCCATTTAATGCATAGTGTTCATTTATCGCTTCAGTTAAATTCCTGTTGCTGTCGCTATTGATGGACGTGCGCTAACGTTAGCGCTAGCTAAATTGCACTAGCGCTTCTTGTCATTTGTACCTGTTTAAATGAAGGATAAGTGAATACAAGATCATGAGGCCCCTCTCAATAAATTCATAAAATAAATGGTGTGAAAATGTCATTGTGAAAATGAAAAATGGCAGCTTGAAAAGTAATCGCTTCAGGGAGTGTGTACAGGCAAAATAAGGAAAGATAAAATACTCAACGCTCCAACTGTATTCGTCCGTGGATGGCGCGATAAAGGCGAAGCCCCCACATTTGCTTGCCCGACGATGTTAGCGACGCCCGCTCGGGATGCGTCTCGTATGATCTCCCTTGCCGGCCAATCGCATGGCTTCATCTCAAAGCATCTTTTGTGCCAGCGGATTATTTTGCTTCGGGGGGGAGCAGCACATGCACAGGTACTGTTTGTCGTGCAGGTGCTGCAGGCCTGTTCCTGATAAGATCCGCCGCTCGGGGACGGATGGAGCGGGCGTCCAAGCGAGGAACAGGTGAGCGGTTGCGGCTATCGCCCGCTTGTCCAAAATAATCCCACCGGTTCCACTTGATAGTTAATGCAGAAACGTCTTGTGCCTGAGCTGTTCGCTTCTTTTTACAATGTTTTTTTTTTATATTCAATGCAGAGCAACGATTCAAAGCGGTCATTTGAAATCGACGTTCCTGACATTTGAACAGCCCGGTGGGCGTGGCTGATGTATCCCCATTTTTTTTTTATTTTTTAATTGGCCCAATTGATAGGGGCCCCCCGTGAAATCTACCCAGCAACCGGTCGACACAATGCAGCGCTTGCAAGGCAATCTGTCGCTTGTAACCAGAGGAAGGTTGAGCACGTTTGAATGCGGCGCACTCAATGAAACATGTGACAAGGTGTGATTATCCCTCCGCCAATAATACCAACTCGCTTGTAAACAGATGTGTGTGTGCGGGGTGGGGGGCTTAATTCCCGCTTCCTCTTCTCCCCAAGCTAATTGGTTGGGCAGAATAACCAGGTAGCTAATGAGTGGTTGCTTTGTCACCATTGTTGTGTTCAAATCATCTTAATGGTGACCTTTGATTGGTCACTAGCGCCGCTTAAAGGGAGGATTTGAAGCCAGCTCACCCCAGGCAACAGAAGCTCTTGCCCCATGCAAGCTGCAAACTAACGAAAGACAAATATTTTATCCATCCATCCATTTTCTGAACCATTCTGTATTTGTTTTGCTTATATTTTGTTTCGTTTTTACCTCTTCTAAAATCCGCGTATAACTGACGGCCATTGAAATGCATGAGGGAGGGCGAGGCCAGGGGAGGGGGGGTGGGGGACACCAACCAAAAATCTTCCAAAAACGCAGATGAAAATAGTTTGACCTATAAAAGGTTGCGCAATACGGACTTCACCATGTGTTGTCATTTACAGCTCTGACCTTTCAGAAAAAGATTCTAACCCTGAATAAACCCGAAGCTAACCCTTAATTCACGACTAAATGTATTAGTGTATTACGTACTATATTATTATTATTATTATTATTATTATTGTTATTATTATTATTATTATTAAAACTTGATGTGCTAGAGAAAAAAAAGCAAAGGCAGATTCTAAATCAGCCTCGAAAATTTATCATGAAAAATTTACTTGCATCTCAAAAAAAAGAAAAAATTGTTGGCCAGTGGTTTTGGGAAAAAAAAAAAAACAAATCTGTGTAACGATGGGTGCCGAAGGATAAACTGGTGTCGGTCGTACTCTGTTGTCTGCATTCACGTCGGTATTGGACATAAAAATTTCCTCTCAATTGCCAAACCTGGATGAAGAAAGTCAAGAAAGAAAATGAATAAAAATAAAATCTGGCATGGACTCCAGCTCAGCCGTCGCCATAATGTGGATAAGCGTTTTCGAAAACTGATGAGTTCATGCACTACAGTACAGTGCTATGTATCAAGAACTTTTTTTTTTTTTTTTTTTTTTAAAAAAAAAAAAAAAAAAAAAAAACACACACACACACACACACCTAATGTCACTTTGGTTTTGGTTACTTCACAAAAAGATTCATTTTGGACTTCGAATGCAAGGACTTCATTGACATGCGCGGGGCCCTCCATACAGGACATGCCAAGCCAAGTAGGTTGCGTGCATCAGCAAAGACACAGACACATATTTCAGGTTAATAGGGGGCATAGAAGAAAATTCATGCGCTCCACCTTGCCCAAAGCCCGTGCTGATAAGATCCCCTAAAGTTCGACGGCGGCCCACGTGCCTCGGCAAAGACCAGAATCTCCGAGGCGCTGACGCGGCAGCACGGTGAGGCAAGACAGGAAGTAATATTACACCTCCGCCCATCTGGAACTTCTAAGTACAAGCCAGGCTCGGATTCAGTCCCTGGCCGCTATCACAATATTGACAAGGTTTCCGAAAGATCTCTCTCACAGGGCTACAGGATCGGAACAGTCGAAAGCATGCGTCCGAGAAGAAGGCTTCGTTCATCGAGTACCTTCGTCTCCCGGAAGAGTGAAGTCATCGGGGTCATCCTGGGCCTCCAGGCAGGTGGCAGGAACCCAGCCCTGGGCGTCTTCGGAACTCACGAACCACCAGCCTTGCGAGCGCAACAATATGAACAATCAAAGGTAAGAGCCGTGTCTCGTGAGGGGAAACTAACTGTCAAGAACCATGATGAGCTCCAAGTGTCAATCAGCAAGGAAAACGAATGGTGTTTTATATTTTAAATGTGGCTTCTGTTGTGATTGACTAGATGTAAAGGTAAAAAAATATGACTGTAAATACTGTTCAGTTCATAAAGTTGATTGGGGGAACCTACCGGACTCATTTTTCTCAATGACCTCCACCACCTGACCCACCCGGAGACTGATCTCGGAGCTCTCTTGCTTCTCGTAGTCCGTGACGGCCACATACTGGTCCAAAAGCAGCGGGTCCGCCGAAGTGCCGTCTCCTGTTAAAAGACAACGCGTGCCCAATTACATTTAGCCGTCAGCTATTTTTGTTTTGAGGTAAAGTCTCCATAATAAAGCAAAGCCTGCGCTCAAATGGTTGGTCATTAAATCTCGTTAAGGCCCTTAATTGGATATCAGCATGAGGCCCATGAACTTTTATTACCTGTGCACTTTTCAGACCGTCATCTTGACATGGTTTTGACTTCACACTGTCCGACGGCGATGAAATTCCCCCCCCCCCTCCCCCGGCTCTCAGAAGAGAAGCAGGGACGGTGAAGGGATTAGCGCAATGTTTCTCATGACCTTTCAGATCGCGAGGGGAGGGGTGCGCCCGAGTTCACAAGCAGAGGTGCGTGTTTGCGTATCACCATGTCATTGAATGCCACTCGATGATTTGGGCAGGGGAATGGTGGAAAAATTCTTGAAAAAGTACGGGACCACCTTGTCTTTGACGTTAAGTTGTGCCTGTGAATGATATCGTTGTGTTTCAGGTCACAGTACTGTAATACAAGCACGAAAAAAATGGATATTGTGTTGAAATAAATGGCTTACAGTGCAGTATCACGATACTAGCATCTATTATTGATACTGCGATAATGTAACTGCAGACTCAGATACTGAATCATATTAAGTTTTACAGTTTGCTGCCGCAAGCATATAGATGACTATTGTTGAAATATATCATTTTTTATGGTACAGTATCAGAATACCAGAGTGAAGTGTCTATATCACAATGACTAATGTTAGCTTTTACGGGACGGTGTTGCCATACCAGCACCAAACATTGATATCATGACGAATCAAATTGTTACCTTTTGCCATACAGTATCTCGATACCAGGCCCAAATATCAGTCATGATGTTTTATGAAACAATATTGCGATACTAGTGTCAAATATTGGATAATTCCTCCTTGCATTGTTTAATGTGGGAATTTTTTTTGCCTCGTGTGGATTTAAACTTAAAGACAAAAAAAAAAAAAAAAGATTGCATTCCTGTGGCCAGAAGGGCATTTTCCTCCACAACGTGCCAGCCCGATGTGGTATTCATTGGAGCTTCTAATTTTGGGATCAGGGCCTAATGAGAGGAGCAGAAGGAGGGCGGGGCATACAAAGGGCAGCTTAGTGGACATGTGATGTCACCCCGCCATGGCACAGTGAAACAATACGCCCCTCTGCTGTGTTGCTTTTTGTTCCGTCCCCATCCAACTCGGCACTCCCTCCCCATAACGAGCACTTTGACGCCTCATTAGCCAACAAACTTTTTTTTTTACAAAGTTACATGTAGCTTGAGGTGAAAATGTATACAAAACAAACAAGAAGAGTCAAATTGGCTTTTTTTTTGTGTCGAGCTTTGACTTACATAAAAAACAGGCAAAAATGAAATTTAGTACGTTTCATACGAAAGACTGAACTGAATTTGGTTGGATTTTAATATATTTTGTACAATGTTGTGGTATCTACATTAAACATAATTTTGGGAACATTTGAGGGGATTCGACAGAGCCCCTAAGGTGACATGGAAGAAAAAAACTTTCGTTAGTTTGCAGCTTGCATGGGGCAAGCTGCTTTTTTTCCATTGGCAAATTTGCGTGATTACTCAAACTTTTTAATTTATATTCAAACTTTTTTTTTTTTGCAAGGGAACACTTTTTTTTTTAAATTTACGTTTTCGTACTTCCGGGTCAGTTTGGCTACTGTAGCCTCAAACGCGCGGCTGTTTGAGAGAAGACAGTACGCTTCAGATGTCTCTCACTTATTTGGAAACCGTGCTTAAAATAAAGAACAAATTATATGTCTTAGCATTTAAGGCAATTTCAAAGTAAAATTCAATTTAACTTGCTCGCAGATGAAGACGCCCCTTCTTTGTTGCTTTCGTTTACCCGGAAGATAACCCGGAAGTACATAAACGCGCATTAAAAAAGCGTTCCCTCGAAAGCTTTCCTTCTATGTCTCCCTAAGAGTTCCGTATGATTTTTCCACCCCAACCATGCCAGCCTCTGTGCTGTGATAAATAGCATCCTAA